TTTTCGAAACCGGGAACATTTATTGAATTTGTGAATAAATTTTGTAAAACAGGAACAATTTTTGAATTTGTGAACAAAATCTGAAAACATGGACATTTTTTGAAAATTTGGAACAATTTTTTTGAAACCGGGAACATTTTTTGAATTTGTGAGCAAATTTTGTAAAATGAAAACATTTTTTGAATTTGTGAACAAAATCTGAAAAATAGGAACAGTTTTTTAAATTCGGTAACAAAATTGGAAAATAAACATAAAAAGAAAAAAAGGAAAAAAAAGGAAAGAAACAGAAAAATGAAAAAGTGACAGAAAGAAGAAAGAAACAGAAAAAACAAAAAAAAATGAAAAAGAAGAGAAATCAAAAAAAGGAAAACGAAAAAGAAAAAGAAACTGAAAAAGAAAAAGCCGGTTCAAAAACCTTCTAGAATGTTCCCAAAACCGGAAAAACATCAATTGGAAACATCATAGAAGGTTCCCAAAACCGGTGTTCGCTGAAACGGTAAAACGGGCCGGCCCACTCGGTCGCTCGTAGCACCTCCTCCTATGTGAAGCATCAACACCTTGCCGCAACGAGCTGCGAGTAGGATTTTCCTAAGGGGGGGGGGGTCCGTATAGGATCCGCCAAGTTTTTGGAGGAGGCTCTTATTTTCGGGAGAGTGCCTTTATTATTGATGGGCCAGGGCCATATACCCTTGAATATAGACTTATTTCTGGTCTAACCACATAGAGATCATGAGGTGCCCAACTTCAAAATCACTAATTAATGGGTATCCTTGCAAATGCCACTCTCACATTTACGCCACTTGTCGCAACACAGGTGTTTTCCTTTTTTCCGTAGATTTATTTTTTCAAAACATTTTATCTCTCCAATCGTGCGTCCAAATGACAAACGATTTTCACTGTTGAATTACTCACGTCAATATCTTCGAAACTATACCCATTTGTTAATATGTTTCCATGGTTATTTTTCTAGAAAAAACCAAGAACCAAAGAAAATCCAAAACAGAAAAGGTAGCAATAAAAAAGCCCAAAAAAGAAAACCGGGAAGAACCAAAACCGAAGGGAGACCAAAAACTTGAAGAAAAAACAACGATGCCTGGAAACACACTTGTGATTTTTCTAAAACCAAAATTGAAAAGCACTGCTATGCTTTTCCCTTTGTTGAAGCACATGTCGCGCTTCTCCTTTTTTCACGGAAGCTCGGATGTGCTTCTCATGAAAACACAACTGTGTCTTTCCCATACCACGAAGCATGAGTTGTGCTTCTCCTTTTTTCAGGGAATCACGGTTGTGCCTTGCTTCCCAAACAAAGAAAACCAATCCGCCAAAACCTAGGAAAAAGCAAGCAATAACTGAAAAAAAAGAAAACATGTGGAAAAAATGGAAAATCCCAAAGGGTACGCCAACACGCAACAAGTGACAGTGGATGGGTGCACCCCACCTCCGCCGCGCCCCTAAACACCACCACTCACAGAGGCACACACCTAGGTTGCGGACAGAGAGGTTGGGTACCGGTTTGGGCAAAGGTTCCATCCCTGCTTTCTGCTGAGAATGTTCCGGTCTAACTTATTTCGGTTTTATTTTATTTCTCTACCGGTTTTTAAAGGTTTATATTATTTGGTTTTTCCTCTATTTTATATTTATAGTTATATTTTCCCTTTTCATTTGTTTGTTCCTTCTCTCTTTAATTTTTTTTTCAAGTTTCATGAAGAAATATTCACAAGTTCAAAACAATTTCGTTTTTTCCAAAAATGTTCATTTTCAAGAAATTTTACGTTTTCAAAAAATATTCATAAAATTCAAAAAGTAATAAAAAAAATCAAAAACCCTAAAATGTTTTGAAAATTTTAATTATTGTTTTATTTTCTATAAAATTTTCAGAATTTCAAAAAAATGGGCTTCTTCAAACAATGTTCGGTATTGAATGACTTACTCGCTTTTCTAAATGTTTCGTTCAAAAATTCAAAATTTGACCGGTGAATTTCAAAAGATGTTCGCATTTTCAAATATTGTTCAAAATTTCAAAACCCATTGCGCCTCAAATTTTGTTCATATTTTTTTAAGAAAAAACTGCATTTAAAAAAATAGAATTTCAAAAGTTGTTCACATTTTTCAAGTTTTTGTTTGTGCTTCCAAATTATTCACAATTTTCTAAAACATTGGATCTGTTGCTCCAGTTTAATCTTAAAGCACGGTGTTGCGAACAAGCCAACGACGCTAGTTGGCTCCGGTTGCAGCACACTTTAACGGATCGGGAGTTCACCTTTTTTTAAGGAACCAGAAGGTCGCGTGTTCAATTCCTTTCTATTTCTGTTTTCAGGACTTTTATGTTATATGTTGCTTCTAAATGGGCCGGCCCAGTCGGGCTCCCTTGTGTTCGTGGCGTCTTTACTTGCCGCATTAAGCGGCATATAAGAGGTCCCTGCCTATACCTTGCGTCTTGCGAGATGTATGGAATGCTGGAAACTCCTATATGACGCACCATCGTCAAGTTGTCGAGCTTTCGCACAAGGATTCGCGAGCGAGGGATGATCTGGGCCAGCCCACCCAACGCTTCAGCCATACTGGTTTTGGGAACTTTCCAGGAGGTTCCCAACCGGACTTCTCCGGTTTTGGTAACCTTCTAGGAGGTTCCTGAACCTCTTTTTTTCTGTTTCATTTTTTCATTTTTCTCCTTTTTCTGCTTTTTTATTATTTCCTTTTTATTTTTCGTTTTATTAAATAAAATATTTTTTTAATTTGTTTGTATAAATAAGTTTGCATTTTACAAAAAATTGGGAGTCCAAAAAATTCTGATTTTCAAATAATGTTCTTGTTTTAAAAAATGTTTGTGTTTCCATAAATTTTCCACCTTTTCAAATTTGTTCTGCAGTTTCAAAAAAAATTGCGTTTAAAAGAAATGCTTCTATTTCCAAAAATTGTTTGCAAATTTTAAAAATCGGTTTTTGAAAATTATTCACGTTTTCAAATTTGTTCCTTTTTAGAAGAACACGGAGGCTCCTCCCCGGTTCCATTGCTCGAATAAAACCAAAAACTCTTGTTCATACATCAGCTCTCTGAGAGGAGCAGTTCAAAGAAAACCGAAGTTAAAGCAAAGCAAATAGCTATTACAATAAGTCCACACTCGATGCAGAGAGCGAGGCAAGGGGGGAAGTAGAAACTACTGCTCGCAGTTTTAAAATTTGTTCCTCAATTTCAAAAATTGTTTATGTTTTCAAAAAACTTTTGTGCTTCCAGAAAGTGCTCCTCTTTTAAAAAATTGCTTGCAAATTTCAAAAAATGCTCCTGTATCCAAATTTGTTTGCCGATTTAATTTTTTCTTCACATTTTCAAGTTTTATTAAGTGTTTCAAAAGAATTTTCCCATTTTCAAAAACAAATGTTCACATGTTCAAAAAAGCATTGGTGATTTTCAAAAAATATTCCCATTTGGTGAAAATGTTTGTAGTTTTTCCAAATAAAATTAAAAAATTTAAAAGTGTTCATGGTTCATAAAACATTCTATTTTTTAAAAAACTATTCAGGTTTCTATAAACATGAATAATTTATGAAATGCTGAACATTTTTGTGAAAAAACATGAATAATTATGAAAACACCAACATTTTTTTGTATTTGTGACCAAATTTCAGTATCAAGAACATTTTCTGGAATTTTGAACAAAAAAAAATTAAAAACACAAAAACGGAAAAACTGGAAGAAAGAAAAAGGGAAATGTTTTCGATCTACTTTTTTGGTTCTTTTTTAATTAAAGGGGTTTCCCCCTGCCCCAGCTTTGTTAAGGCAAGGCAAGCAAACATAGCAGATTGTTTAACAGCTTCAGCGGCAACCTGAAATAGCTGCCATAACACACATAACTGGAAGGGT